AGATGGGAGTGTTAAGTGAATATTCTCTAAATATCAATTAACATTAAGGGGGTTGATAGGACAGACCTTCTGCATCTTTACTGAGTTTTTAAATTATTTTTTTTAAAGTTTATTTATTTATTTTGAGAGGGAGAGAGAGCACGAGCAGGGGGAGAGGCAGAGAGAGAGAATCCCAAGCTATCAGCACAGAGCCAGACTCAGGGCTTGAACTCATGTACCCATGAGATCATGACCTGAGCTGAAATGGAGTCGGACACTTAACTGAGTGAGCCACCCGGTGCCCCTCTTTACTGATTTTAGATCTAGTTGTTCTATCAGTTGCTGAGAGAAGGGTGACAAAAATCTCCAACTCTGTAGAATTGTCTATTCTTTTTCTCGTCATTTTTAAAATGTATTTTGAAGCTCTGTTATTAGGTGCATATGTGTTTATGATGTTATGTGTTTTCCTATGAAATGTCCCTCCTCATTGCCAGTCATAGTCTTGGTCTTAAAGATGACTTCACTGGACATTATTATAGCCATTCAGTCTCTTAGGCTTCCTGTTTTCATGATACATCTTTCCCCTTCTACTTCTAACCAGTGTTTTTATATATTAAGTGTGTTTCATTGAGACAAATATAAAAATATCTTGCTCAGCACCCCCTCCCCCATTTCTGACAATCTGTATTTTAATGGAGTAATTTTAGATATTTTGTTTATCCTTTGTAGAGTTTGCTGACTTTCTTGAAATCTGTAAATTTATTATCTTTCATCAAATCTAGTAAAATTTGGACCATTACTCTTAAAGCATTTTTTTTTACGTAGTCTCCACGCCCAGGGCAGAGCCCAAATGGGGTTTGAACTCACAACCCTAAGATCAAGACCTGAGCTGAGCTCAAGAGCCGGATGCTTGGGGTGCTTGGGTGGCTCAACTGGTTGAGCGTCCGACTTCGGCTTAGGTCACGATCTCACAGTCTGTGAGTTCAAGCCCCGCGTCGGGCTCTGTGCTGACAGCTCGGAGCCTGGAGCCTGCTTCGGATTCTGTGTCTCCCTCTCTCTCTGCCCCTCCCCTGCTTGCACTCTGTCTCTCTGTCTCTCTCTCTCTGTCTCTCTCTCTCTGTCTCTCTCTCTCAAAAATAAACAAACATTAACAAAAGAAGTTGGATCCTTAACTGACTGTGCTACCCTGGCACCCCTTAAAGCATTTTTTCTACCTCAATCTCTCTTTCCCCTCTTTCTGAGATTCCAACTATATGTGTATTTGATTTTTGGATATTATACTGAATATCACTGCTGCCCTATTCAGTGTTTGTCCCCAAATATTTTTTCTTTCTGTGGGGGTAAATTTCTATGGATCTTTCTTCACATTCATCGACTCTTTTGGCATCTCTGTTATGTCCATCCATTGAAGGTTTTATTTCAAATGTGTTTTTTAGTCTTAAAATTGCCATTTGGTTTTTCCCATAGTTAATATGTTTCTTCTGCTATTTCCTATCTTTTTATTCATTTTATGTATATTTTCTGTTACGTCTTTGAAGTATAGTTATAAAGCTGCATCAAATCCTTGTCTGGTAATTCCAACACCAGAGTAATCTCAGAATGGTCTTCATTTATGGTCTGTTCTCTTAGAGTGTGTGGGCCACATTTTCCTGTTTCTTGGTATGTAGAATAATTTGCTTTCTTATTTTTATTTTACTTTCTTTATTTTTGAGAGAGAGAGAGAGAGAGAGAGAGAGAGCATTGAGTTGGGGAGAGGGGCAGAGGGAAAGAGAGAGAGAATCCTAAGCAGACTCCACACCCAGCGTGGAGCCCACCATGGGGCTCGATCCCCCAACCCTCGGATCATGACCTGAGCCAAAATCAATAGTCACTCAACCGACTGAGCCACCCAGGTGCCCCGATGTGTAGGATAGTTTTGGATTGTGTTTTGTACATTGGGATTAATATATTATAGATATGTACTCTAAATTCTGTATGCGTCTCGAAAGGGTAGTGATTTTTTGTTTTAGCAATTAATTTGAACTCAGTTTTCAAAAGCTCTGTCTTATGAGTAACAGCCGAATCTTGTCCAATTCTTGTAGCCTTATCTGGACTGCTTTGGATCTGCTATGCTCGCAGGTCATTATAGGGTCCAACAGAGATCTTGGCAGAGTTTTCACACACAGAATTTTGGAGCTCCCTCTCTCTTGCTGTTTATTTTCGAGAATATCCTCTCCTACTTGCCAGCTTCTGTTTGGTGCTCCTTCCCGGTTATGTTTGTACTTCTGATCCCTCACGAAGGTGAGCGTATAGTATAGTATAGAATGTATGGTTGTTGCAGAAGCCATCAGTGGCTTTACAAGGCCATCTCAACGAAATGGTAGTAAGAAAGTGGAGCTGGGGACCAGAAGTTGCATGCCCTCACGGTTCTGGTTATTGAGGCTGCGTGTTCAGCTGTGAACTTTGTAAAAACCCAGGCAGAACGGGACCACACGATCAGCGAACGTTCGTCATCGATGACCACCACGCTTCTTGCCTGCGCAAGGGGAGACTTTTCACCTTGAACTCAGGCCTCTGCTTGCTCAGGTTACCTGGTCCACCTAACTGCCCCAGTTGGAGGTGTGGCATTTTCCATGCATAGGCTACAATAAGATCATCCTGGCTACATTGACAGATAGTTGACTGCATGTTCTCTAGTTAGTGGTCCTCCTGATAATAGAAAGTGAATTTTGAATTACAGCCACAGACACTTGAGGCTCTTACTTTGCCTACTGAGAGTTACCTTTTCTGTTGTTCAGGTTGGGAGTTCATGAGCTACAAGGCTCTTAATAAAGCTAGTATTGTGGTTCAGCATATCATTTGCCCGAGAAACAAGAATGTTTCATGTGGTCGGATTGCTACAGTTCATGGAAAACTTCCCATGGCATCAGCATTTGTTTAAACAGGTGTCAACTTGCTTTTGAGGCCCCCAGGAACATAGACTTATATTTCATTACATTTGTTATCTAGGATAATAATTCCATGAAGGCTTACAATTTCTTGAGTTCATTTACTTGTTTAGGTAGAAACGTTTCCGTGAACCTCTTCTATCCCAGAATTCTGCACTGACCTACGGACCTACCTAATATTAAAACAACAAAAGTAATCAACCAAGCCAGATCCTCTGTTTGTTTTCTGACTCTACTTCGGATTTTGGTGTCTGGTTTCTGTTGCCTCACAGCTGCCATATTTGCATCCAGCATGGTATTTGAACTCCTTAGACTTGTTTTTCTGAATTGACTCACAGTCGTTAAGCCCGGATTCTTTGGCTACGCCAACATTGCTGGGTTGCTGCTTCATTCGAACAGTCTTTTCTGGTTGGGTGGGGTATATAGCCTACCCCAGTCCGCCTGCCTTCAAGGGAGACTTTATTGTCTGTTCCAACAAGACTCCATTCTAAGCCCTGGCAGTCACAGACTTGTGAATCCCAGCCACCTCGTTGTAACACTGGTGGTATTTCAGGATAATACGATGACCCCAGTCATTTCTCTGGGTGTCAACCAGCTGGCCCTCATCCGGGACCTCAGTATTTCACACACACACCCACTCCCTGTCAGCTGTGCCCCGTCTTTATCGGAAATTCTAGGATTTACTGGTTTTGATTTCAAAATGATCTAACCCAGCCTATCCTGTAAAAAGGTAACTTTCATTTCTGTTGTGTCATCCTGGAATAAAGAACTCTCAGATATTGTGAAAAGTCCATGTAAACAACTGTCTGTCTGTTGAAAACGCTTTGTTCCCAAAAGTAAGTCATACGTAGCAGTTAATGATTATATTGAAGATCTTTGCTGCAGTCCTCCTGCTAACTCCGTGTTTCATTTGTGTTCTCGTTCTCCTGTCTTTTGGATTAGAAGTATTTCTTTAAATAAATAAAAGCAACTCCTGTGATGCAGGAGCTTCTGTTATCAGATTGGAGTGATTGGGGCCATTTTCGACATAAGGCAAGTGTTTCTAAAGCATATTTTTTATTATTTGGCCTATCCTCACCATTCCGATTAGCTTCCCTGTATAGACTGTTTGAAGGTACCTGTCTGTTAACACTTTTATTGTGCGGCTGAGGCTCAAACCTGAAAAACCAATGCTTCCTTCTATGGGTCAATGCCTTTCTAAAGCATTCAATTGGTTTTTTAAAAAAAATCTCTTTGCAGGAATCGTGGCAATACATATATATATATATATTTTTTTCTTTTGTTTTGTAATGCCGTAGCTGAGTGAGAACGACCCCCGTCATAAGCCTTAGAACTGAATTACAGCCAGATTTAAATGGGTTTTGCTCTGGAAAGGAGAATTGGCAAGGATGAATGGTCCCGGGCTGGTATATTGTAAGATAATTGTAGCCATGGCAATATTTGTTTCCTGGTATTGTGCTTCTAAATTTAAGTGATGAGGTTCATCATAGGAAAAAACTCATTTGTATGTTTCAAGTTGCATTTAAATGATCCCAACTTCATTCGTCTAACGTTAGAAGTGGTTGTTTCCGGTGGAGTAGCGGGTTCAGCAATTTGCCTTAATCTCCTGTGGAAGTAGTTTTTCCCGGGCAAGTAATATCTTTTAATAAAGCGAGTTTTCTGGGAAGACGTACCTAACCATGCTAACTTTGAAAAATCTAGATAAAAGAATACGAGAAGCTTGAGAATGAAGAAGACCGCCTTTGCAGGAGCCGGCAAATTTATGACAAGTACATCATGAAGGAGCTGCTGTCTTGTTCGCATGTGAGTCTTTCTTTGTGTCCTGTTCCTCCAGGATGGGTAGGAGACAGCTTGCAGAGTTCCCAGAGAGAAACCCAAATGGGAGGAAGAAGTTTAAAAATCCAACAGGAGTCCCCGGGGACGGGACCTGTCTCTTCTCTTCTGTCATTTGTCTCCTGGTAACCCTGATACAGAGCTGTTGCTTTGTCTCCTCCGAGTGTATTTCCGAAAGCAGATCTTTCACGGCGAAGAAGAACGAGGCAAATAACATTAACAGCTCCTTCAGATAAGCAGAAGAAAGGGCTGGTCTCAGTTCTAGACTTTCTAAAGGAAATTAAGCTTTATTGTTATTGTTGTTAGTGTGGCTCTCCTTTAAATAATTAGGCTAATCAAATATTGATCAACATAAATTTTAAATGGCTTCTGTGGATTCATGAGGAAGAGCATAATTATTACATTAATTTTATTAATAGCTAAATAGACAGTGGAAATATCCCCCCCCCCCCCCGAGTGTAAATCAGATAAATAATCCATTTGGTCATTGCGATAAACTAGGTTCCTAGGAAACTATTCCACCAGGAGTGAGTGGAATAATTAGTAATAAAAATTTATCACGTGGGCCGCCTGAGTGGTTCAGTCAGTTAAGCATCTGACTTCGGCTCAGGTCACGATCCCGCTGTTGGTGAGTTCGAGCCCGGCGTCAGGCTCTGTGCTGATGGCTGGGAGCCGGGAGCCTGCTTCAGATTCTGTGTTCCCTCTCTCTCTGTCCCTCCCCCGCTCATACTGTCTCTCTGTCTCTCAAAAAATGAATAAATGTTAATTTTTTTTTTTTAACATGTAATGTCTCTGAGAGAATTTTCTAAAGGAGTGGCCCCATGGTTCTGGCCTGCTGTGTCCAGTACAGGAGCCACAGGTGGCTGTGTAAACTCCATTAAAATCCAATGGAGTTAAAAATTTAACTTCTCAGTTCCTCGCAAGCCACATTTCAAGTGCTCAATAGCCACACTGGCTGGTGGCTCCAGTATTGGACAGCACAGGTTCACACCATTGCTGCCATTGCAGAAAGTTCCAGCGGACGGCACTGGCCAGGATCATGGTTTATTTTGGTGCCTCTGTATTTATTGTGCCATTCACCGTCTTAACTGACACATGAATAACTGTGGCTAAAGGTGGCACCTCTTGTGGCATGCATTTCTTTTTGTTTTTTAATGTTTATTTATTTATTTTGAGAGAGAGAGAGAGAGAGCATGCGCAAACAGGGGAGGGGCAGAGAGAGGGAGAGAGAGAGAGAGAGAGAGAATCCCGAGCGGCCTCTGTGCTGTCAGCGCAGAGCCCGATGTGGGGCTCGAACTCACAAACCACGGCATCATGACCCGAGCCCAAATCAAGAGCCAGTGGGCTTAACCAACTGGGCCACCCAGGCGCCCCGTAGTAGACAGGAATCCTGAGCTGGAGCTAAATGGTCGATGCTCTGTGCCTTGCTACCTTGCCAAAGAATGGCTGAACCTTGGAAAATGCCCGATGTTCTGTGGGGATGCCTCGGAAATTAGTTGTCATGTAGCTCAGCAATTCAGCAGGTTTTTCGGCAGTATAAGGTGCATGTGAAGCTTTCCTTCTTAGAGCGCATTATTAAAAAAGATGTAATTGGAAGTCTGGGGGGAGAATAGAATGTATACTTCTTGTTGGTGTAGGCTTTATTCTTCCAGAGCCAGTTCCCCTCTGCCATGGTCACGGCAAGACTTCCCTTAACCTCCAGCCCTCTACCACCCTGGATTAGCTTTGTAGTCCTGACATTTAACTCTTACGTGTATTTTCATGCATTTGTTTGGTCTTATCTAGTAGAATTTGTATGTTCTCAGGACCCTCATTATTAGCTAATTAAGGGATATATGCATTTAATAAAGTGATAGTAAACTTCTTTACACTTTTTTTTTTTTTTTTTAACATCACAGTTAATCTTAAATTCTTGTGGGACTAGATATGTCGGTCAGGTGCCCCATGCTCATCATCCTTCTCGACACGGCGTCTAAGAATTCTAGAAGCTCAGAGGGACAAGCACCTGTTTGGATTGCCCATAAATATCCAACTGATTTCTAAAGAATGCACGTCAACATAACTACCATAGGTTCCTGCCTAGTAATTGTGTTAAATTATATGTTGTGGTATTGTGTAACATAGGTTTATGTTTTATATTTGTGGAAAAAAAAATAACTGTTTTCTGATTTTTTTTCTTAATAAAAAAGCCGTTCTCAAAGCAAGCTGTAGAACATGTACAAAGTCACCTATCCAAGAAACAAGTGACATCCACTCTTTTCCAGGTAAGGCAAAAGTACTTCAAAATACATACAGCTGACCCTTGAACTACATAGGGAATAGGGGCGCTGACCCCCCTGTAGTCGAAAATCCACTTATAACGTTTGATTCCCACCCCCAAACTTTACTGATGGCCTGCTATTGACCAGGAGTCTTACTGGTCACATAAAAAGTTGATTAACACCTACTTTGTATGTCATATATATTCTATTCTGTATTTTTATAATAAGCTAGAGAAAAAACATTAAGAAAAGTATAAGGAAATGCATTTACAATATTGTACTGTAAGAAATCAATCTATAAGCGGACTTATGTGGTTCAGACTCCTGTTATACAAGGGTCCCCTGCAGATTGTTCTCTGTAAAGGGACATGCACTGCACAAATGAGCCAGGAGCCCTTAATCTTGGTCTAGCCATGAATTTGCTCAGAGACCATGGGATAGCACCTGCCCGCAGTGCCCCAGCCTCCGTTATGTGCAAAATGAGGAGAGGGATTAACTCTTCCCCATGGTTGTCTTTATCCCTATGATTATGTGAGGTAGAAAGTCAATAAGTAAAATAGCTAATTACAAAAAACCCATTTACTCCATGGATCCATTAGCTTTTAGTCTTTAAAACTCAGTATCGATGCTGAGTAGCAACACTTATTAATTAACAAAATGTGCTGTGTAACTTCCAGAGACCAGCGCAGCATGAAAGACGTGGGCCCCTTGGTCAGAAATTAAGAATTTCAAGATGGCGATAGCAGGGCCCCAAACCAAGCAGTGGGCCCTTTTGGGTGCCAGCCCTATGGGGCTGCATGGGTCACACACCCGGAAAACCAACCCTGGTCACCCGGGAAGCCTCTGTGACTTTCCAGGAACCATGCCAGGCCGTAAGGATTCGGTGGCAAACAGGACAGACCTGTCCTTACCTTCCTGGAACTCGCAGTTGAATAGTGCAGATAACTGTTAAGTAAACAATCGCGGTGATGAATCTGTTATTAAAAACGGGGCAAGTTGGGGCGCCTGGGTGGCGCAGTCGGTTAAGCATCCGACTTCAGCCAGGTCACGATCTCGCGGTCCGGGGGTTCGAGCCCCGCGTCGGGCTCTGGGCTGATGGCTCGGAGCCTGGAGCCTGTTTCCGATTCTGTGTCTCCCTCTCTCTCTGCCCCTCCCCCGTTCATGCTCTGTCTCTCTCTGTCCCAAAAATAAAAAAACAAACAAACAAACAAACAAACAAAAAAAAAACAAAAAACGGGGCAAGCACCGACAAGGGCAAGTGGAAGAGTGGGAACTCCCACCAGTCCAAGTCCCATCAGTTTGTGTTATGGGTTCCTATTTACGCAGTGTGGAATTTCTTTTCCGTCCTTTCCAGCCCTACATAGAAGAAATTTGTGAAAGTCTCCGAGGCAACATTTTCCAAAAATTTATGGAAAGGTATGAAACTTCACGTATGTGCCTGACATTTCTGGGGGGGGATACTTGCTAGAATGTTATTTTAACACATTTATATATATATATAAAATCTCGTACAGGTGTATCTCCTTTTACCCAGTGAGCTCTGTCCTTATTAAAATGTGTGCTGATTTGTTCATTTGACAAGTACTTAACTGAGCACATACTATGCGCCAGGCTTAGCCTTAGACTGTTACCTCAGTAGTTTAAAGTATTATTTAGGATTCACATATCTTAATGTCTCTTCATTTTGAATCTCTTTAGCTTCAAAATGGTCTAAAGTTTAAGTAGACTATGGAACCACAACATTAAAAGTCGCTTATTGGGACACCTTTGCTAATGCAAGCCCTGTTCCGTTAACCTCATTCCTTGGTTTGCACTTTGAGATCCTGCCCCCGAAAGTGGATCAGGCCTGCACTTGATTCCTCATGTAATGGAACTGAAGGGTCCAGGCAGACGTCTGTGCTCATATACATTATTGCGATCCCTGCTAAGTACGTTCCCTTTGAGTGACTCAGACTATACATGTGTGCTTGTCCTACAAAACCCTGAACGCATTCGGTGCTGCCTGCAAAAGTGCCCTTTCAGTCACCCAGCAGTCGGGCAAACATCAGGATTTCGAGTATTCCTCTGTGAACAGGCACTGCTGGGATTGGGGCTTTTCTGAAACCGAATTTGCATTCGCACAGACCGTGCTCTTCTCCACAGACTCGGCTAATTTCTCGACAAGCGACATGATGATTGTGTCTCAGTGCTGGAGCAGCCCCGCAGCTGTTCCATAATTGCCCTTTAAAAACAAATGCTTCTTCACCGCGGTTTTTTGCTCCCCCCCTCCCCATAGTCTCTGAACTAAAGTAATTAAACAAAACAAAACAAAACAAAAAACGTGGTGGTGTGATTCCACTAGAGTTCAAGAGACAATTTTATCCTGGAGTAGAGTCAGTACTTGGGGGAAGCGAATATGCATACAAATGATTATTACACTTCTCTGAGCAGGAGCAGAGACTTTGCCAGAAAGCAGTAGTTTATTCCGAGGGGCTAGGCTGGCTGGGTTTCAGCGGGAGGCCTGCCCGCGCTGTCTCCATCTCCGTTAGTTCGAAAATCTGACCTTTCCAACTCTTGGGTCAGCTGAGAGCTTTTACGTGATCGTAAAAGCCAGGGATGGGCATAAAACTCGGAGGGGGGGCGTCCTGTAGCTCTTTGCCCTTAGGTTCTTTCATGAGCCACCAGGCCAGCCTGCCTGTCACTTTTCTCCCTGCTGGTCGAGCCTTTGGCTCTTAGTGCCACCCCCCACACCAGCTGTTTGCATTTACACACACGAGCGCACACACACACACACACACACACACACACACACACACACACACACACCAGCTGTTTGCGCTTTAGGCCAGCACGTGTACTGGATTTTCTGAAATCATCTTTTCTGAAACTATTCACCGTATCATGTAAATCCTTTTTAAAAGCGAATTTCTTCATTTTTACACCGTCCTGGGTTCTTTTTCTGCGACCACAGTCTCAAATGAGAATTTAAAAACTCCGTTGTCAGACCTAGAGTTTCGTGTTTGGGTTTTGAAAAGCGTGGGCACTCCATAAATAGAACCTTGTAGCCTTTGGCCTCGGCGGGACTGGCCACACTCCCCGAGGGTCTCACGGTGAAGGCCGTCTCTCAAGGGCCTGCACTGCAGCCTGGTAATAATGAGGAAATCTTCAGCAGTGCCTTGGCCGGTCTGTGCCTTCACTTGAAGCAGGCAGGGCCCCAGGGCTAAGTTCCAGGCGGGGCTGAATCTGGGATGTGAGCTTCCGTCAGGCAGTGAACTTCAAGTGCCCAGCAGTCTTAAGCCCGAGTCACAGATTGGGGTTAAAAATGCTTACCCTACACCCTGCCCGCACTGCACCCCGGTTGTTTTTGTATCTTTAACCTCTGCTCTTCCCTTTGGGGTGGCCATATATCATCTGCAAGGGCGCTGGCTGTCAGGAGCCCTCTGTTGCCCAGGCTCTGCTCTGTCCTCAGCCCTAGTTCCTCTTCTATCAGGAAGTGCCCAATTCCAGCTTTAGGTATTGACCAAAAATAGCACTCAGAGAACCTCCATGGACACATGACTGACCCCGGACACCCTGGGGGCTATCTGTACTTCCTAAAGAAGAGCTTGTTACAGCAAACCCATACCTCAAGGGCAAAATGGGAGTTTGAGGGTGTTCCTTTTTTTTGGGGGGGGTGTTCTTTTAGGGCAGGGTATGTGTTGGGATTTGGTTCCCTCTTCTCTTGGTCAGCAGGATGGTTCTCTCCCAGGTTGTTAATCTTCCCCAGCTAGTTTGCAAGTTTGTAAATCTTGTAAATTTTGTAAATCTCCGGATCACCAGCCCCTGTTGCCAGCTCTGAGCTCGAGAATTCATGAGGGAAGGGAGTAGGAGCTGGGCCAACACACCAAGTGAATTTCAAAGGCACGGCCATGGTGTAAGCACAGAGAGCACCCCAGTGTGTGTTTGCTTGTTGGCCTCATCATGCTTTAAAAAAAACCAAAACGTTTGAAATAACTTTCAGAAACTGTCCAAATATAATTTGACTAACCCCACAGAGATGATAGGGAGATCAGTGAAACACTCTGTAAGCTTCATTTTAGATTCATTGACAAAAGATGCCTCAGAATTGTAAAGAGTTCTTCTGCTTTTGATTTTCAACGTGATTATATTAGCCTCAGCAATATTTTTAAAAGATCCTAAGAAGGCATATTAAATGAAACCCCCAGGAAACTGGGATATTTAGATGCCTTAAGGCATTCTGTTACAGTGCTGATAATTCCTGTACCGTGCATTTCATAAGTACTCTCTCCCTCCGCCCACCTCTCCCTTTCTCTCTCTCTCTCATTCATTCATTCATTCATTCATGCATTCAAAGAACCCTGGATACTGTGCCTGTGTAAGGAATTGTGCCAGGGGCTACGTGAAATCCAGCAGTCACCAAGAATATTCTTTGCCTTTGAGGAGCTTTCAATCAAGAATGCAATTCTTTTGAAAAAATGTTTTAAAACACACCCCTTAGACGGCGTTGCTCATTAATTAATGAAAATCATGTCTGTATTAAAATAGGTGTGGGGATAGGTATTTTTCTTACTTCCTAGAAGAAAAATCTATTCATCACGCAGTTGAGTAAATTGTGGGAGCAAATCGGCTCAGTAGGACTTGGCGCATCTTGCGATTCTAGCCTCAGGGGCTTTTTCGCCTACAGCATTTGTGTCTTGGAGCAACAGTGCTGGGTCTGGGTTCAGGTCTGGCCCCACCACTCCTCTCACTTGTGTGACCTTGGCCACGCCTGGGTCTCCTCTGCTGCGGAATGGGCATCTTCATTGACCAGGGCCTTGCACATGAAAAGCCCCATGGGGTGTCTGCTGTTCTTAGAATTCTTTACGAATACTAATTTTCTTGTCGCTTTAGAGCGGCATGGTAGCCACTAGCCACGTGTGACTCCTGAGCACTTGAAATGACCGGCGTGACGAGTGTGAATGAAGACGGGCTCCAAGTGCAAAATACACACTTAAGTTTCAAAACCAAATGTAGGAACTAGGTTGTAGAATGCCTCGCTACTAATTTTATACCGATTACGTGTTGAGATGATAGTTTTTTTGCTGTACTGGGGTTCAGGAAAGTAACGGTATTCGATTAAACTACCAGCGTGGCTCACGTTAGGCCTTCTCTTGGACGGTGCCGATTCAGATAAAGACGCAGTAACCACAGTTTAAGGGGAACACGCCGTCTTTCACCTGAATCGTAAAATAAAGCCGCGAATCCTGGGGAATGCTTTGCGAAAAACATGTTGAAGAAAACATGCCTCTGGTCAAGAAGCAACACAGGTGTTCCGTCCGAGGTTGTCTGTTAACATTGCCCAGTCAACCCGACTCCTGTGACACGTGACTCTTCAGTGACCATTATTATATTCTTTTTTTAGTGACAAGTTCACCCGATTTTGCCAGTGGAAAAACGTAGAATTAAACATCCATGTGAGTATCCTCTTAATTCTCCCCCCCCCTTTTTTTTAAATAAAAACTTCCTCTGGCTTAACTTCGTGAGAAAATACTTTATCCCGGAGCACACTCCCACGGGTAATGCGCCACTAACAGATGTCTCCCTTACAGCTTTAACGTAAGAAGAATTCATCCCCCCGTACCCGGTTTCATAAACAGTTCGAGGTTTAATTCTCTTTTTTCCCATTCATATAAGGATGTGTTTATTTAGTTAAGAAAGGGTATTTTAAGCAGTGACTGACCCACAGAAATAGTAGTAAAAAATACAAGTCTCCTACAGAATGTGCTTCCCGCATGCTCTTGTCTTTCGGCATCCTGGTAAAGAGTCTCTTCTCTTTCTTATTATTAGGTCTAATCTTGTCATAAGAATGATGGCATCTCTTATTAGCCCAAGGTTTCATCTCCTTTTTTTTAAATTTATTATTATTTTTTTTATATTTTTGAGAGTGAGAAAAGCAGTCCTCAGAAACCGGCTACTTTGTAACACACATTTCCCGAAAGGCTCATCTGCTTCCAGCTTTCAACCTCAAGTTCTGGGGCATGCCCCCTGCTTCACTTTTAGAACCCTCCTTTTTTTTTTTTTAATTTTTTTTAATGTTTGTTTATTTATTTATTTATTTATTTATTTATTTATTTTGAGAAAGAGAGCGCGAGTGGGGGAGGGACAGAGAGAAAGGCAGACACAGAGCCGTCAGCACAGAGCCTGACGCGGCGCTTGAACTCACAAACCCGAAGATCGTGACCTGAGCCATAGTCAGACGCTAAATCAGCTGAGCCACCCAGGTGCCCCATACCCTTGTTTCTTGATACAGCCTCTTTTACCTTCCCCTTCATGTCCATTTGTGAGTAAGAAAAATCATCAACTGGATTTTTTTTTTTTTTTAACTTGAGGATACCATTGGGAGAAGCAGTTGTGTGTGTGTGTGGTTTTTTTTTTTTATTTTTTTTTTTTTTTTTTTTTTTTTTTTAAACTTCCCCTTTCTTTCACAGTTCCTGGCAGGATTGTAGAAACAAGAGGGAAATCACACATTTTTCAAAAATATCTTCTGTATTTGCCATAGAGCTTTCTCACGCTTCTCCTCCTTCAGCAGACCCCGGGCGCTCATGTCCTGCTGTCTGTCCCCTTGAGCATCAGATGTGAGGCCTGTGGGCCCAGTTAGCTGTGGCTGCAAACGTGTTTCAAGGGCTGTGTGGGGGGAACCCTTCAGGAACCTGACCCTTAACTTGCCAGCATGCGTAAGCTACTAAGGTGTTTGCTCTTTTCCGACTACCCCTTTAGACACCGGGCTCACTGTCTGCCTTTGTACCATCGAAGACTGTTAAAGCTACTTGGGAGGTGGGGCATTGCTGAGATCCTGACACAAGGAACGGGCTTATGAATGAAGCCTCTTTATACACTTTCCTCCTACTTCGGGTCTTGTTTCATGCTCACATGCCCAGCATGAGTCCTAGCGATTCCCTGACGTTATCGATAAAAAATTCACATGGCCGGCACCCGCCGAGTTTTCTCATCATATGGCCCGCCGTTAGGAAAACATAGATGCCCTCGATGTAGACTTACTTTTTTTTACCGTGACAGTTCCTGGAATTGCTGAGCTGTTCCCACACTTCCGGCTTCAGAGTAGCTGAGGTGGCTTTTCATTTGGACTAGAAATTTCACACTCCCCTGTGTTCGGGGCATACGGCTTACGACCTAAAACGCAGGAGAGCGGAAAAACGACCTGACTCGGCTCCCACTCTGTCCTCGTCCCACTCGCCTCCCTTTTGTGCGCTTTGAGGGTGGAGCACATGGAGGTTCTAGAAAGTCTTGCAGCCTTGCCCATCTCGTCTTGCAGCCCGGGGAATCAGTCGCAGAAAGGGCAGATCCCGCTGTCAGAATTGCTCTTTTGGTAACTGTGTGTTGCATGAAAACAACAGCATGATTTTAATGCAGTTCTGTGTTTTCGTATCGTGTTTTGAATTCACAGTTGACCATGAATGATTTCAGCGTGCATAGAATCATTGGACGAGGAGGATTTGGTGAAGTGTATGGTTGCAGGAAAGCAGACACTGGAAAAATGTAAGCTTTCTGTGGGTTCTGTGCTTGCGTCAAAAGAAAATACCTGCATAGATTTGTGGAAGCCCCCGACCTCACTCCTGAAGTAACTTAACCTCAGAAAGAAAAGGGCTGTTTTTTGTGAGGCATCGGAAATGAGAACAGTTGGCTGGAACTTCCATCACGTAGAGTGAAATGGGAAGTTAGCCAGTGACTATGTGTCATGAGCCCCTATCACTCAGGCCGTGGGTGAAGCAGTCTGGGACCTAGAAGTGACCAAGAAGGGGCGTTCTGTGCCGCCTCCCGGGCCAATCCGGTTGCAAAGAATCCTCTGCTTCGCAGAGGAGAGAACTTTTCTTCTAGACAGCGACCACCCGTGATTTAGCACATACGCTTTTCGGTGGTGTAACATCCCAGGAGATGTCGGTTCCCGTAGTTGGGTAGCTCGAGCCCTGGCGAACAGGATGCCCTCCTAGGAGGGCCATGATCATGGGTCTCCATGACTGCGTCGGCCGCTGATAGTACAGGTGGCTGATGTGAGGCAGTTAACATGCACGTGTGCCGGGTGTGAGGCTCTTCCAGAAAGTGAATGGTGGAGTTCTTAAGTGGTGCGGGT